ATTGCAAAGGAAAGAAAAGTGTGCTTATAACATACTTCTTGACAACAATGTGTAGGTCATACAACCCATAGCAAGATCTTAACAAATTTAAGGAAAGAAAGTGTGAGCCAAGGAAGGATTTTATAACCAGCTAATCTATCCTTAAAATATTAAGGGTAGAGGAAGAAAGGAATCAAGAAATATTATACTCATAAGCTCTTAAGGAACCTTTCAAGTGCTAAACTTTGTCAAGCCAAGGAATGACTGGAGAAATTTTAACAAAAATAAGTATTAGCAATCAGAATCCAACCCTCTAGTGGTGGACGGTCTCATCAGCACCCACCTATGATGCCTGACTTTTGCTATTCATACTGTGGAGTATGGGTGGAATCTTTGACTTTTCTCCAACCAATGGAATATGGCAAAGGTGATGGGATAGCATGATTATGTGATATTGTTATTTTATGATAAGTTATGTTTTGTTGTGTTATATTGTGACTGATTTGCTAATACATTTGCTCTAGAGTTTGTCTTTGCTGGTTGAATGAAGTAAGCAGCCACACTGGGGAAGCCCACCTGGCAAGGAACTGGAGGTGGTCCCTAGGAACTCCTCCAAAAGTTGAAAGTGACATCCAGCCAACCACCAGCAAAAATTTAAGCTCTCAGTCCTACACCCTCAAAGAACTAAATGCTGCCAACAAAAACAGTGAATAGAAAAGCAAATTCTTCCCTGGTTGGTGGGAACTTAGTCTTGACTAACACCAGCAGAAACCCTGCCGAGCCATGTGTAGACTCCCGAGCCATAGAAAGTGTGAGATAATAAACTTGTGCTGCTTCAAGCCACTGAGTTGATGATAACCTGTTCTGTAGCAACTGATAACTAATATAATCATACTGAAACAGAATAAATCATGCTCAAGTGGGTTTGGCTTCCAGAATGCAAGAATAGCTTAGTATTTTTACTATATTTTTCTTATTGTTTTCCTCACTTTAGTCCCAGACCTGATACAAGGAAATCCACTAATATTATTCACTATGTTAATAGCACTAAGGAGAGATGACATTATCATTTCTATATACGGCTTCCACAAATATTAAATATTTCCACTAAAATGGGAATCAATGGATACTCTGTGATATGGCTTGAATGTGTCCCCCAAAGTCATGTATTGGAAACTTCATCCCCAATGTGACAGTGTTGAGGTACGGCCTAACAACAGATTAATGTCATTATTGTGGCCCTGGGTTAGTTGTATCTTGAGAGTGGGTTGTTATTAAAGGATATGACCCTTGATCTTGGACTTCACCATCTCTAGAAGCATAAGCCAAATAAACTATTGTTTATAAATTATTAAGACTTTAGTATTCTCTTAAAGGAGCAGAAAATGGACTAAGACACTCCCTTAATTTTAACTATCCATCCCTCCCTCTATCCATTTCTTCCCATTCTATAGTCATCATCTTTCTAAATGGGGAAAGTGCCAGTGGCCTTTTTCACTAAGGCCAAGAACAAGGTCCATTCAATTTCTAACATTGATTGAAAATATTGGCCAATCTAATTAGATAAAATAAAGCAATGAATGTATGAAAAGCAGTAAAGAAAAGCTATTTGAATTTGCAGGTGACAGAATACCTGAACTATCTAAGAATCAATGATAAAATTAGCAACAAGTAAATTTAGTAAAGTGGGAAGACATAAAATTACACATATAGAAACAATATCCAGTTAGAAGACATAGCTTAAGAAACAGTTACAACAAACAAGACAAAATACTCATGAGTAAACTTAACAAGGAATGTGAAAGACCTATGAGAGGAAAGTAGCCTTGAACACGTATAAAGACATTTTCCTGTTTCTGGATGAGGTGACATAACCTCATGAAGATGTTCCTTTTCCTGAAACATAAACTTAATGTGATTCCTTGCAAATACTAGCTACACAGTGGAACAGGTAGGAAATTCTTGAAATAATAAACAAATGTAAGAAACCAGCCCAATCAGGTATCAAAATACAACCAGACTATTGCAATAGTCTTGAATAAAGCCTTTCTTGTCTTTAAATACACACGTGTTTTGGAGTGCACCCATGCACACACACGTGTACACACACACACACACACACACACTGTAATGCTTTCATCAGCACACAAATAAACACACCTGTGAAACAGACTAGAAACACGCCCAGTGCTTTTGGATGTTTAGCATGTGATAAAGGTACATTTTTAATCACTAGAGAGAAGATGTATTTTTTAATAAATGGGAGTTGGAATAGAGGGACAGACATTTGGAAAAAGTTTAGATTAGGTCTGTACATTAAATGAAACATCAAACAAGTATTAGAAGACATGAATGAATTTCTTTAAGTTGAACTGGGAAATGTTTTTCCAACTCTGATTCAAAATCTGGATCTAATAAATGGAAAGTGTGATTAAATCAACTGCGCTTCATCCCCACTGGGCATAGGGAGATCGGAGGGTGGTAGTGATGCACCCTGGTGAATGCAGGGAGTGGGGCAGTGCTTGAACTCATGCTGCAGGTCCTTCCCGGACCCAGGCCTCCTTGTTGCTGTGGCCCAAGAGGGTGGATGGCACATCTCAGAGCCTATTGGATCCTCCTCACAAGTATCTATCTATCTCTGATCATAGGGCCCAGTCCCATCTCTGCCAGGTTGACTCCAGTAGGCTCCTCCCTCTCCTGCCTCCTGGAGACCTCTCCACAGCCATTAGGAACACCCTTTCAATAATCAACCTCCAAACCTTCTGAGGTCTGCCCACTGCACCTAGATGAAAATCCAAACTCCACCAGCTCCTCTCACTGGCTTTGTTTGGTTCAGCTCCTGCTGTCCACCACCTGTACTTGCCTCAGGGACCTTGAATCTGCTGTTCCCTTAGACTTTTTCCATGAGATCCATCCTTTCATTCACAGCATGGTCAGAAGTCACCGCTCAGGGACATCTTCCCTGAACAGGCTAAGTAGCTGCCCCCATTTGCCTCATTTTTTTGTTTTTCTTCCTAGCACTTATTCTCTGACATTGACCTCGAATTTCCCTTTTATTTTTTTTTTTCTTTTGGTTCTGGGAATTGAACCTAAGGGCTATCTACCACTGAGCTACATCCCCAGCAACTTTTAGAAATTTGTTCTTTTTAGGTATACTTGACAGTAATTACGTTTTGACATATTATACATACATGGAGTATAACTTAATCTAATTAGGATCCGATTCTTGCGGTGGTACATGGTGTGGAGTTACACTGGTCATGTATTCATATATGAACATAGGAATTCATTCTGTCTTTCCCATTCCTATCCCCACTCCCTACCCTTCATTCCCCTTTGTTTAATCCAAAGAGCTTTCATTCTTCCATTGTGTGTTAGTATCCACCTATCTGAGAGAACATTCAGCCTTTGGTTTTGGGGAGATTAGCTTATTTCATTTAGCATGATAGTCTCCAGTTCCATCCATGTATCAGCAAATGCCATAATTTCATTCTTCTTTATGGCTGAGTAATATTCCATTATATATATTATATATAAAATATATTTATATATATATATAACATTTTCTTTATCCATTCATCTGTTGAAGGACACCTAGGTTGGTTGCATAGCTTAGCTATTGTGAATAGAGCTGCTATAAACATTGATGTGGCTGTATCACTGTAGTATGTTCCCAACCCTTTGTATTGTTTGAGACAGGGTCTCGCTAAATTGTGGAGGCTGACCTTTAACTTGCAATCCTGCCATCTGAGCTTCCCAAGTAGCAGGGATTACAGGTATGTACTATCACACCTGGTGGGATTCTCCTTTGATAACTGTAATTGGATGGCCTCCTCCCTCCTACACCAGCTGGAGAGAGCACTTACTGGGGCAGAAAGTAGGCATCACACAGTAGGTGCTCAATGAATACTCTAGGCACAGGTCGGTAGGCACAGTGGCCAAAATGTATAGGTTGGACCCTCACCTTTGCCACTTCATGGCCCTGAGACTGAACAAATCTTGTCAACTCTCTAAGCCTCAGTATGTCAGCTATAAAATGGAAATACAGCATCTATCTGACAGGTAGACCTTTCCAAGAACCCTCTCTGTCTCTCAGCAGAACACCTGCCTCATAGTCCCAGGAAGCAGTAGGTAGGAGCTGGTGGGGAGCCTCACCGCCTCCGCCCCAGGTTGGTCTTTTCCATGCTGAGCATGAAGCCCTTCTTATCCCAATCTAAACAGAAGACACGAAGTGGTCACTTGATCGTGCACGCTCTCACAGCGAGGGGGGCACACCCAGAGCCCCCAAGCAGCTCCCACCGTCCTGCAGGCCCTTTGATGGTAGTTACTGATACATTTTTCCAATCCGATTCCAGCTTCTGTGACAACACCCTCTTCCTCCAAGGATCAGGCCCCTTTCCCTTCTTCACAAGCACCCTACAAGTAAGCTGTGCCGCCCCATTTCATAGGTGGGGAAACTGAGGTCCAGTGTGGGGTGAAGACTGGCTTTTCCTGCCACCCGAGTGGCTGAAGGAAGCTCGTTCTTCGCGCAGAGTGGAGCGGCGGGGGACTCACGGCAGAAACCGGTCTCTCTCAACGGGCTAGGGGGTGTGCCCTTCGCTGGTCCCCTCCGCTGTTCCTCCTTGTATCTCCAGTCCCAGCGACCCAGCCCCTGCTGACCCCGCCACGCGCACTCCTGCCCCTCCGGGCACACACCCACGCAGCTCGCAGCCCCCTCCACGGTCCACCCCTCGCCGCGCGGGCCTTACACTCCAGCGCGCCGCGGTTCCGGGCCCCGCCAGCCCGCCGGCCACGCGCACTGTCACCCGTGCGCGCACCTGTGCCCTGGGTCAGACCACAGCGTCCCCGCCAGCTGCTTGGATGCCAGCCATCCACGCCCAGATCGCCGCCCCTCACCTAAGCATCCCGACCTCTCCCGCACCCCGCGCCCCACCGCCGCTTGCAGCCCCTCCCATGCGCCCGCGAACCTCGCGCCCTTGTCCGCAGCACCAGGTGTCCCGCCTGGCCGCGCCACCACTCACCGGCTCCCGGCACGCCTGAAGCCCGGGCCCGGCCCACGGGCAGCGCCCGCCGCGCCCGCTGAGAGCCGCGGCGCCGCAGACCCGGGGCGCTGCCCGTTGCCCGCAGCCCGTTCAGATCCCGGTGCAGCCCGCCCGTGCGCCTGGCGGTCGGCCCCGAAGGAGCGCTGCTCGGCGCCCCCTCGCGGCCACAAGGGGGAGCGCCGAGCGGGAGGGGCGCGGGGTGGAGCCCTGGGAGTCCCCGCAGAGCTACTGTATTCCCGCTGCCTTGCAAGCGGCCTCATGGGTACCCTAGGTGGCTCTGTCCACCAGGCCTCTCCTCTGCTCCCGGGTCTCAGGGTCAAGGCCAGACGTCCAATCCTGCTTTCAGGACCCTCCGCTGCGGCTCGTTTCCCACCCCTGTTGCCAGGTCACACAAGTCAGAACTGCCCTGATGAGCATTGTTCCTGGAGGACTCAGCGCTTGAACTCCCTTCCCCACCGCCTCCTCTTCACTGGGCCAACAGCTCGCGTTCTGAAACCCAGTTCACCCTTTTTCTTCAAGACTGTCCACTCTTCTGGGCTTTCCTTCTCTGATGACCATCGAACTGGGTTGTCTGTGTACCTGAGTCCTGTGGGCACTGGGTGGGCATTGAAGGGTGGAGGTACTACATACAACCACCTCTCTTCTTGGTGAGGAAGATCCCAGGGGATCAGCCCACAGGAAGAGGGAGTGCTGCTCTGAAGACACTGGGGTGCAAGGAGGATAACAAAGATGTGTTATCTCACTTTCAGGACCAATGTAGGTTGAGTGGGTCGGGAAGGCCCTGGGGCAGAGGCAAGGCCAGAGGCTGATCACAGTGAGGGAGATGTCTGAGACCAATGTCAAAGGCCACGTGGGGGAAGGAGAGAAAGGAACAGAGGCAGGCACATTGCATGCGTCTGGTGTGAGTGGCTTTTAGCAGATAGACACAGCTTGGGGAATAAGCATTGGATCTAGTCCTCAGGCTAGTGTTCCACAGAGCCCCTGAATCTTCTCTAATAGTTACCCTGAAACCTAGCCCTAAGATCAGTCCTGGTGCATCTCCTGGAAGTATGTGGGTTTCTGTTGTAGACTTCTCTTTCCCTAGAAAAAGGGAAAGAGAAGTCTACAACAGAATTCAGTGAGCTGACCTATTCAGCTGTGATATCATGGGGCCAGAGTAGTTCTGTGGGGTCCCCCTCACCCAGTGCAAATGAAGGGAGCAGGGGCCAGTCTCTCCTTATGCTACCCTTCTCTGTGAGCAAAAGCTTGGACATCCCCAAAACATCTTTCTTCAGGTCAATGACTGGGGCCACCATGCATGGTTGTCATGCTGAGAGTGGGGGTTGGGGATACTTATAGCAGGGCAGTGCCTGGAAGAGCAGCTGAAATATAAGAACGGACTTTCCTGTGTTCATAGCTCAATGTCCCACATGACTGATAGAGGTAGGGCCATGGTGTGTGACAAGAGGGAGGAAGCCAGTGCCCCTTAAGGTGTCTTAAGACCTCTCTCTCCCTGCCAGGTCAGGTCTCTACTGAGGATGTAGCAAGGCAGCTTTTTGAGCCTCAAGATCAACATAGAGTCCTGTTCTTGGTGATCTCCAGTTTTGGAGGATACTAGCTGCAGGTGCTATGGCCAATCATTGAGAGACATTTGTTCCCCCACCATGTCCACCCAAGAGCACATGAACAGGTAGGGCTCCTTGGATGGTCCATCCACTGCCTTGTCCGAGCCTCCCTTCTCATTGCAGACCATACCCAAGGGCTCATCGTTGGAGTGTGGGGTGGGCATTGGAACAGAGGGTGAGCCACCCAGACATCTGTGAGCTCAGCCTAACCCCCCACAACCCTGAGGCATCCTTCCTGTGGGTATTTACCTAGGGCCTATGTGTGCTGAAGGGCTGGGGATATAGCAGGGAGTGAGTAAGACTGAGTTTCTGCCCCCTCAGAGCTCCAAGTTAGAGAGAGGAGATTGAAGATTAAGGAGCCTCAGGAGGGGTTTCCCATGCCTGATATTTAGACTCTGCTGCGTGCTGCCCCCCAGTACCCAGTAAAAATTCTTCTGAGCCTAAATCTATGCTCCAGGACAGGTGGGGCTTTTCATGCTAGTGAGCCAACAATGAAAGGACTCACTTTTCCCACAGGGGTGATCAGCTATGCCCACTGGGGGAGACAGGGCTGCCATCCATACAAACAAAAAAATAAAGACAATTACAGAGCGCTGAGTACCATAAAGTAACCAATATAGGGAGGTGATAGAGTGTGGATGGGGCTACTGTAGACAGGCCTTTCTGGGATGTGGCATTAGACTGAAACTTGAAAGATGAGGAGCCTGGGGAGGTGTGTTCTGGGCAGAGGGGAGATCAAGGGTAAAGGCCCTATGAGCAGTCAACATCTATGAGGGCAAGTGAGTGATGAAGGAGGCTGAAAAGTTCTGGGAACTAAGGAGGAAGGGGTCAGGACCAGGTAATTCCTCCAGGATAGGAGGAAGAGATGGATTCTGTCCCTTGGGTATGGCAATAAGGGCAGGTTTAGCCCCAATTCTGCCAGGAAGGTGCTGGTACTGTCTCCAGCAATACTAGTCCTGGTTTCCATGAAGGCTTTCCTAGCATCCCTCTGGAACCCCTGCCTTGGTTGCCCAGATGACATCTCCACATGCATGCGACTCTGGGCCACCCAGGTTTGCTCCACCACCTGCACAATGGGTTGGTGGGGCTTGAGTCTTTATCCACTAAGAGTGGATGTGAGGGAGAAGCAGCAGGCAGAAGCCTGTGGAGGTGGCGGCGGCAGGGAACAGCTGAGTATCTATACCAGGCAGGAGCAAGAGATGGGGTCAGACCCAAGTGAGGGCTATTTCTGGGGAAGAAGCTGCAGGGCTGGGTAATGGGAAGACAAGGAAAATGTGTGAGGAGTGGCAAAAGCTGCTAGGGTAAGACCAGGGGGAATGGAGACATTTTTCCCAAGGAGGGGGAGGAGCCCCTTCACAGAAGACAGGGACTGCTGAGATTTCTGCCACAAGGAATTTAGGACACACCTGGAGGTATCTGGACTTGTGGGTGCAGTAGGGGGGTGAGACCTTGGGAGTGAAGGAAGAAACCCTTGAGGTTTCAATAGCTGCAGACGCCCAGTGCCTGGAGCCTGCATGGCTTCCACATCACGTCTGCCCCCAACTCTTGGCACAGCCACAGCAGGTGACTCAGGAAGGAGTCTGACAGCAAGCAAGACTGCCGAGCAGGATTACCAATAAAATCTGAGAACAATGAGGACAGAATTTTGGGCTCTGGCCAATGCATTTTATTAGTGTAACCCAGTGTCCATTCTTGGGTCTGGTGAAAGCTCTCCAAAGTTACTACAAGGGCAAAACTCCAGGAGGAAGTTATCGTATAGTCAGCTACTGGGGTGTATGGGTGTCACATTCTACTATTGCTTATAGACCAGGGTCCTGCCTATCCAAAGAGTCTGTGTGGGTATCAGGGAGGAGTGAGAGAGTATTGTGTATGCATGCGCATATGTGTGCACATGGTATGTGTATGCAGAGTGTGCATGTGTATGTGAGTGGGCACGTGTGATGGCATTCCAGGCATGTGCATGGTACATGTTCATACGTACATATGTGTGTGATATATGAGAACAAATAGTGGTGTGTGTGTGCGTGTGTGCGTGTGTGTGTGTGTGTGTGGTGGATGTGTGGTGTGTGCGGTGAGCATGTGTGTGGGGTGAGTGTGCACAGAACCATGCTCCTGGCTGTGCTGAACATGAAGGCATGTGAGACTACAAGGCAGGGTGAAAAACTTGCCTGCTAAAATCCACCACTTAAAGACTCATATTTACTCAGGACTTTGATTAAGTTCCCAAGGTCATGATCCCTCCTTGAGCCCCTAGAGCTCCAGGCAGCACTTCTGCCAGCCTGTGGCATACCTGGGATTGACCTGCAGTGTTGGAGTACCCAGGTACTATGTCCTTATCAGGCTATGGCTATTGAACTTGCCCATCTATAGCTTATTTATGGGACATGGAAATACAGAGGGGCCCATGCCCTCTCTGAGTTTCAGACATGATCCCCCTGCCCTATCACATGGCAGCAGCCCTGTCTACCCCAGTGGGCAGGGTCGATCACCCCTGCCAGTAAAGTGGCTCCTTTCATTATTGGTTTCCTGGCATTAAAGCAATATTGAGTTGTCATCTCTGTCTGTGGTAGGCAGAATAATGCCCCAAGTGTCCTGGAGCATTAGATTAAGGCTCAGAGGAAGTTTTACCCGGTTCTGGGAGGCATCATGCAGCACAGTCTAATTCTGTAGGCATGGGAAACACCTCCTCAGGGTCTTTGGTCTCCAAAGCTTGGGGGAAAGTTGCCACATGATCAGGTATCAGGTTCTGGTGGGGAACAGAAAATGTAAACCTCTTTTCCCCTCCTGAGTCCTCCCAGGCATCTGCCACACTCAAGGTGTCATTTATCCAAGAGAGTCAAATGTCAGTGCACATAGGAATCAACTGGAACATGTAAAGAAAAGAAAGCACCCTAAGATCCCCCTTGAGACCCAGGTTGGGGGGTCGGGATGGCCCTGCACTGTATATTTGTAACAGGTGATTCAGGTGATGCTGATGCCACAGGAAGATGGAGCAAATTTTGAGAAATGCTGATTTAAAGCAATATCGAGTTGACATCTCTGTCTGTGGTAGGCAGAATAATGACCCCTAAAGTTGTCCACATCCTAGTTCCCAGAACCTGTGACTAAGTTACCTTCCATGGCTTTGCATGTATGAGAAGATTATTTTAGATTATCCAGGCAAATCCAGGGTAATCACATGGATCCTTAAAAATGGAGGTTGAGGAAAGAGGATGACAAGTTCAAAGCCAACCTCTGCAACTTAGGGAGACCCTGTCTCAAAATAAAATATAAAAAAGGGCTGCGCATGTAACTCAGTAGTGTGCAGGAGGCCCTTCCAGGACCAGGAAGAAAAAAATCAGAAGGGGGAAGCAGAAGAAGAGAACCAGAGAAAGATATAACAATGGAAGCCGGGTTAGAGAAATGCTGAGCTTCTAGCTTTGAAAATGGA